TTGTTTAAATTAATGTAGTTTATAATGTCCAATAAAGTTATTTATGAAGCTCTTGCTTTAACTTTGTTGATGGTTTTTATAGAACACATCTGGTATGAATCTTCACAATAGTAACACGTACAGCATTGTGTGACTATTTCTATGTTAGCTTTAATCAACAACATAAATACTAGAAATATTTAAATGTTGTCTGACAACACTGACAATGAAGGATCAAGAAACATGCTGATGTTAATTGGTAAATACTTTCACCTGTGGAGGTGGTGACAGTGCTAGAGATGATCCATCACTTAATCACAGTTTAATATTTATAAATTCTGATCTTAAAAGTGTTGCTACCATCACCTGTCAACAACAGCAGAAATGAAGTTGCAGGTAAGAAACTGAACCTGTGAATACTGAAGACAGAGAATAATAAACTAACTCATCAGCAGTTAGTCTGTCATTTCATCAGAGGAAGATGAACTGGGAGAGGTTTTCTACCATCATCATCATCACAGCACATTAGAGAACTAAGGATGTCCATGCAGTCTCCCTTCTCCACAACCAGATGAATGGAAACAAATGGGCTGCTCTGTACATGAGGTCCTCCTTCTGTTGGCACAGATCACTCAGTTTTCACAGTGTGGAAACCTTTCAAATGACAATAAAACACAAACACTTGAGTTAAGATGCGGTGGATCACAGTTAATCACAAATATCGATCAGCTGTCAGGATAGGTGCATGAATGTCTGCTTCAGTTGAGGACTGGTTTGAGTATTAAATGAACAATCTTCTATATGACAAATATTTGTCTACACATTTTGTAAACGTCACGTTATCTTAACTTGAACTATCACGACGTCTTGATGGACAATGTATTAACCAACATTAACGCTGCGCATTACACTAACGCAGATCACTTAAACTGGGTCACATGTGGAGAAACACAAACCAAACGTCGTTAGATTAACGTCCATTAAATTCACCTTTTTATTGGGCTTTGACTGAACACCTCCACGGGCTAACCCGGGGTGACACAGGTTATCAGCCCAGCGGGGCCAGGTACCGTTGGCATAGCAATCGCTAAGTTATCAGCTAACGCTAGCGCTAGCTGGCTAGCTTGGTTAGCAAGGTGCATCTTCACCTGAACTGTGATATCAACAGGGATGCTAATTTTGGCTAGCAAAGAAACAGGCTCAAAACAAAATGTACTTACCGGAAATAATTCAACCCATGACTCCTCTGAGTGTCTTTTAGAACAACTGAACACTGAACAAGACATTTACCGGTAAACGACATGTTGGAGCTAACTTTGATCAACTGAAAACACAATGACAAGTCAAATGTCCGACACATTGCTCTGACGTCATATCCGGATTAATAGGCAGGTCCCTCTGTGTGTCAATCATGAAGTAGCCACGTCCTAAAGCCACTCTGCTCTAAGGTCTATTTTCTTTTAAATTGGACCATAATTTAAAAAAAAAAAAAAAGAACATCATGTTGTTTTGACTTCAAGACTTCAAACTAGAGATTCAGACCATAAACACATAACAAATCAAATTTGAAAATACGTGTTGAGTGGGAGTGCTGCTGCTGGGTGTCTGTGCTCCTCACTGCTACTCGGTCTTCTTCTGCCATAACAGCATTTTATTCAATGTAGAAGCAGCTAATTTTACTGTGTGTTGCTAGTTTGTGTTAATGTTGTCAGCTGGTTTAAAGCTTAAACGAACTGATGAGAGGTAAATGAGTGAAGTGAATGAGTAAAGTGAAAACTGTCTTGTACACACTGGTACACTTAGACAGAGAGGACCAGGAAACACATTGAGGAGCAGAAGTCTCCCGCGCAGCTATCGCTTGGTCTGGACTGTTGTCTCCAGCCTACCACTCATGGTTCCCATCGCCGGGCATCACCCAGTTCCTCATTGTTCACCATGTTCCAGATGACGACTCAGGGATTAGTGAGTAATAGCTAACATGCTATTTTGTTTGTAGCTCCGGTTAGTTAGGTTTTTAGTAGCAACAACCTCAGGCCTTCCTTCAGCCTTGCAGGTAGCACTCTTCCAAACACACATATTTACACCTGATATAAACTGATTGATTTACTCACTGGTGTTAAATATCTCTGGTTTGATCTGAAGTGAATGTGAACATTGATGTGTGCAGGGTAGATGGCCGTCACTGTACTAGAACCCTCCCTGAGAAGTGTGGTGTGCAGTTACTGATCTCAACAGCATGGAAGTTTTATATTTATATTTATATATGGAATATTTTTTGGTGTGTCCAACTGTACTGACGCTAACTGACTGACTGACTGACTGACTGACTGACTGAGTGACTGATAGAGTTGAGTTTTACTGTTTAACCTTTGGTCAGCTGAAGACCATGTGACGTGATTCATGAAGTTACACCATTGGTCTGTTGACTTGTTTTCACTGGTCTAGACTCCAGGTGTTCACAGATCAGCGGTCTCTGTTTTCTCCTGTTCAGCTGAATGAAGTTTCATGTCGTCTACTGCTTCATTTTTTCCAAGCAGCTGACTAGGGAGTGTATGAGACTCTTTCACCTGGTGTAAAGCGCAACTCAAGTGTCTTTGCTAGTTTCGGACTGATGCAGTTGTTCATTTTTCCATCCAGTTCACACTTTGTTTAAATAGCCAGATGTTTAAATTGACCAACAGAAACCTGGTCTTCAGTAAATGGAACAATATTTCTCCATTATCTTAATTGCACATAGTCAGTATGCTCCTGCATAGGTGGGTGCACAGCGTGTCTGTTTAACACAAGCAGAGTTGTGAAGATGAGCTTCAGGTGTTTGATGTTTAGTCCGGTGGAACATTAGAAAGCAGCCACAGAAGGTCAGAGCATTCTTTGTCAGTACAGATCATTTAAATAACATTTGTTTAAGCTTTATTAAAGTAATGGTAAACAAAAATAATGAAATCATACTTTTTAAGGACTTGACAGTGAATCTTAGTGTCTCCTGTTATTTCTTTTCCCCCCAGATGCTCCAAGGATCCAGCTGATTACTGGGATATTTCACTTTAATTTTACGATTTTCTTTTACAGTGTAAGATTATTAGAGACATGGATCAAAACAGAGTTTGTAGAGAACTTACTTTAAATGGCAGACGACGGCCATTATAAAATAAGATGATAAGATAATATAAGGTAATATATAATATATAATATAAGGTAGAATCTATATAATTGGTTTTCAGATTTCATGCTTTTCACCATGGGGTTTTTAAAGATATACATATATAGACATAAACCAAAGTAATTCAAACATGACTGCTGTATAATATTTCAGCTACAGGAGCAGAGGTGTAAAATGTATTTCCAATAACAGGATCAAATGGTCTTTTTTTTAAATAAAGCCTGAGGATGATCTGACCAAACATCATTTCAATGATTCTAGTCTTTGATTCAAACCAACGTCATCTCACAGCAGGACAAGAAAAAATAGAAACAGAACGGAGGATAAAAATGGAGCTGCAGGAGAGTGTGTGTCTGTGTCGTCAGCATGGTGAGATGAGACGAGCTGCACAGTATCCTCTATTATCTAACAGCCCTCCTGTTATGTAACGCAGGAGAACTGCAGAGAGAGGAGGAGGAGGAGGAGGAGGAGGAGGTCTATATTAAGGTTAGAATGATATGAAGGCCGATACTCACCATTCACTAAAACAGATCAGCTCCAGTCCCTGATGGATGGATGTGATACCGATGCTCTATATTTACTACAGAACGGATCAATACTGCACATTTTCATGTCCATTGGTCTAAATGTTGTTTTTAGAAAATATTTAATATAACATTTAGGACATCTTTCAATGATCCTAGTCTGAGAGATCATCTGTTTTTTTAAATTCATGTCACAGCTTGAGCTGAAGTTATAGAAACGGTTACATCTCGAAATCAATGACATCATTTGACTCTGAAATCTACAGTAAAATAGAAAATCTCTCAAAAGAAAAAACATTCAGCCATTATTGGTAAAATCATGTTCCTTCATGGATGAATCCGCGAATTCAAACTGAGTATCGATTGTGAATGTGTGTTTTTTTTCCTTGGGTTGCTGTAGTTTATATAGGTGGGAAGGCACAACACAAATTTCTATCATATGTGAAATAAAATAATAAATAAATACAGAAAATAAAATAAAACATTGAAACAAACATGAAATCCTGACAAGTTGAAATGTTCATTCCCTCCAACAATCTCAAGAGTTTTTAATTCAATTTCATCATTAAATCTTCATCATTCACAAATTAATTCATTTTTCAGTAATTTGTTCATTAATCATTCCTTTCTTTACTTTCACCTTCATCATGAAATTATTCATTTATTCATTTTGTCATTGATTCATTCATCAAACACGTCTTTCATTCATTTGTTCATACTAGTTCATTCCCTCCTTCCTTCATCCTCTCATTCATATAAATATAATATAATATAAACAATAACAGATAAATACTCACAAGATTTACATTCACCAATAAATGTATTAACTCACAGCAGAACCTATTCATCGTATCTGACTGATACTGGCCACTGAAAACCAGTATCAGTCGCAGAGCCTGTGTGTGTGTGTGTGTGTGTGTGTGTGTGTGTGTGTGTGTGTGTATGTGTGTGTGTGTGTGTGTGTGTGTGGTGGGTGGGACCACAGATCCCAGTTTACCTCTCTCTCCTTCCAGATCCATCCCTCCACCTTCCTCTCCTCTCTGCAGCATCCCTCCTCCTGCTCAGCCAACCGCCTGCCGAGAACCGGGGTCATGTGACTGACTGAGCCCAATAGGTCTCCACCAGGCACCGGCAAAAAGAGGGGAGGTGCCTCTCCTCCTCCTCCTCCTCCTCCTCTCTGCGAGTCAGACGGTGTGTCTGGAGAAGATTTGATGGATGTGAAGGATCCGTGAAACGAGCTGAGACACGTTTCTTCTTCTTCTTCTCCTTCAGCTGCAGATCAGAGGCTTCAACCTCCCCCCTCTTCCTCCCTCCCTCTGCTGGGGAATACAGGGGGGATGAATGGGGAGGCGATGGAGAGGAACCCGGCACAGGAGCAGCAGCACGCCGGTAACGGCTCCCACCTCCCTCCCCCTCCCACCATCACGCCGGCCATCCCCCCCTACGTGAAGCTGGGTCTGACCATCGCCTACACCATCTTCTACTCGCTGCTCTTCGCCTTCATCTACGCCCAGCTCTGGCTGGTGCTGCGCTACCGACACAAGCGCTTCAGCTACCAGACGGCCTTCCTGTTCCTGTGTCTGCTGTGGGCCGCCCTGCGCGCCCTCCTCTTCTCCTTCTACTTCAGAGACTGTGTGACCGCCAACGCACTCGGACCCTTCGCCTTCTGGCTGCTCTACTGCTTCCCTGTCTGCCTGCAGTTCTTCACGCTCAGCCTCATGAACCTCTACTGTGCACAGGTGAGGGGGTGCTGGTGCTGGTCCTTATACTAGTACTGGTGCTGGTGCTGGTGCTGGTGTTGGTGCTGGTGCTGGTGTTGGTGCTGGTGCTGCTCCTTATACTAGTACTGGTACTGGTGCTGGTGCTGGTACTGGTGCCGGTGCTGGNTGTGCTAATGCTAGTACTGGTGCTGGTGCTGGTGCTGCTCCTTATACTAGTACTGGTGCTGGTGCTGGTGCTGGTGCTGGTGCTGGTGTTGGTGCTGGTGCTGGTGTTGGTGCTGGTGCTGCTCCTTATACTAGTACTGGTACTGGTGCTGGTGCTGGTACTGGTGCCGGTGCTGGTGCTAGTGCTGGTACTGGTGCTGGTGCTGGTGCTGGTGCTAATACTAGTACTGGTACTGGTGCTGGTGCTGGTGCTGATACTAGTACTGGTACTGGTACTGGTGCTGGTGCTGGTGCTGGTGCTGATACTAGTACTGGTACTGGTGCTGGTGCTGGTGCTGGTGCTGGTGCTGGTACTGGTACTGGTCCTGACAGTAGTACTGGCGCTGGTGCTGGTGCTGGTCCTTATACTAGTACTGGTGCTGGTGCTGGTGCTGGTGTTGGTACTAGTGCTGGTACTGGTACTGTTACTGCTCCTTATACTAGTACTGGTGCTGGTCCTTATACTAGTACTGGTGCTGGTGCTGGTGCTGGTGCTGATACTAGTACTGGTGCTGGTGCTGGTGCTGGTGTTGGTGCTGGTGCTAGTGCTGGTCCTTATACTAGTACTGGTACTAGTGCTGGTACTGGTACTGGTACTGCTCCTTATACTAGTACTGGTGCTGGTCCTTATACTAGTACTGGTACTGGTGCTGGTGCTGGTGCTGGTGGGGCAAAGACTGGTACTGCCAATGCTAATGGTACTAGTGCTGGTACGGGTACAGGTGGAGCAAAGACTGGTACTGGTGCTGGTCCTTATACTAGTACTGGTGCTGGTGTTGGTGCTGGTGGAGCAAAGACTAGTACTGCCACTGCTAATGGTACTGGTGCTGGTACGGGTACAGGTTGAGAAAAGACTGGTACTGGTACTGGTTCTGGTTCTGCAAAAACTGTCAGTGATGAATCGTATGATGTTGAACCGGCAGCTCAGTTTTAAATTCAGTTTGCAGAGATCACAGCAGCAGCTGCTCCTCGTCTTCACTCACAGCAGCTGCTGGAGTCTGAAATAGACCAGAAGACAAAGACGGTTTTCTTTTCAGACTCGTGAGGAGCGTCTTTACCAGCAGCTTTCAGCCACTCGTCCCTGAGAGCTGAGCTGAGGCAGGTTATTTTCTAAAGACTACAGTGTCTCATTTCCTTAACGAGGGCACCTTCAGGAACTAATCGATGAAATAAGTTGCTGCAGTAAAAAGCTACAGATTATTGGCTGCGCTCACTCGGGACATTTGGCGTCGTCCACATTCACTGTCTTTCATTCACCTTTTGAACCAATGTATGCTACAGTCACTTGTCAAAGGTTGGGGCCAGGTAATGCTAGAAAAGAAGCAGTTAGGACGGCGTGCTGCCCAACCACGTTGGAGATCAAAAGAGTTTATAGTTGTTCCGAACCAGCACACTGGAAGGCGCAGTGAAGCCAACTGTCATAGAGAGGGGTGAGATGTGATATTGTTAAAGTACGGAGGTGATGGTTCAGACCCATCATGGTGTGAAGTGGATGAATATTGGATTGTCGATTTCCGGAAAGTACAGCAATTGCAGAACTAACGTCGAACGTAGGAAAGGTGTCGGGGCGTGAGGGGGTTTCAGACGCTGTCCAACCACCTGACAAACTCTTCTGATGACGCAGCTCTTCTGCACACACCTTTTTCATCTAGGGTCCACATGGGCCATCCAAATATGTATCCACAGCGCTTCAGGTACTGAAAGTAGAAATCTTTAGGTATTCCTTATTCAAAACAGACCTGTGGAAAACCAACCTTAACTTGATGAGCATGAATAAGTTGAGATGCAAACTGAAAGGAGCCTGAATGGCTGAATTTGCCGTCTACTTCCTCTGTTCATAGTTTGACTTTTGTCTGATGAGCAACTATACTGGTCTGACCAAGTCGTTCAGCGATGGATCTCTGCGCATCATTTTTCTTCTTCAAATTGCGGGAGCTTGATGGATCACCGGAAGTTATAACGTAGTTTCATCACAAAGACTTAGTCAAGTGAGTCGAAAACAACTTTGTGCTTCTGTGTTCTGAGGGAATCAAAACAAGTTAAGTGGTTCTCCCCGGGTGGGTAAGTCTTTTGTCTCAATATTTGAGTCCATATGTTCACGTCTGTACTGGGGTCTACCAGTCTGTGGTGAGGGTGGGGTGACAGGAATGGTCATGGAGTCAGTAAAATACAGAGGGTCATCTTCTGGGGAGCAGGAATTTGATCAGGATACTTTATATTCATATGTTTTATATTTTGTATGTTCATGGTGATACTACCGGGTATCACCCTCAGGCTTGGGCATCACCAAAATCATAAGGATGCATCATCTGGGGAGCATCAATATGGACAGCAGAGTTCAGATTATCTTGGCAAGATAATTCTGTTGTCCCCAATATTTGAGTCCATATGTTTGTAAAGTCTGTTGAAGTCTGAACGAGGTCTAAGAGTCTTACCAGTCTGTGTTGAGGGTGGAAAAGGTCATGGAGTCAGTAAAATCAAAGGGTTCATCTTCTGGGGAGCAGAAATTTGATCAGGATATTTTATGTTTATATATTTTATATTCTATGTTCATGGAGTATTCAAAATTAAAGCGGTTCATTGACTGAGCAGCATGAATGTGCTCCATCAACTTCAATTTCTCAATGTACTTCAAGGGGGAATTAGGAAGCAATGGTCAAACTCAAACCCTGAGGTTTGGGCATCACCAAAATCATAAGGATGCATCATCTGGGGAGCATTAATATGGGTAGTAGAGTTCGGATTATCTTGTCGTGGACCAAAGCTTTGGACCTGACAAGTCCACACTGCTGCACAACAACAGGGTTAAGACTGTTGGTATTTGAGGTGGTTTTGACAAGTCAGAAGTGACCACAATGGTACTGATAGACAGCCCTGCAGATGGATCGTGGTCAGTTTGTAGGTCAGTCGCGGCCTGTTACCGCCCTGCTGGGCGATAAAAAACACGATTACATGAGAAGAAAAACTGGCCGGAGAAGAGGAGGTTATTTTATTTTGTTTGACCGAGTGATGAACGACAAATTCGTCCCATCAACAAGTTGAAGTCGACACAAGAAACTCTAACGATTTTTCGTCAATCAAAGAAATACATCGATGTGACGACTTAACAAATTCAGATGTCTGAAACGAGGCTGAGGAAAAGTGTGTTTTTGATTTAATGTGTTTGTAATTCTTTTTTCTCACAGGTTTACTTTAAGGCAAAGTCGAAGTACACACCTGCGCTGCTCAAGTACAGGTAACTTTGACGAACGTCATCTGCTTACATGAAGGTTTTGTAAGTCAATGTTTTCAAAAATGATCCATAAATCAAACCAACTTGTATAAAAAGTGAAACAGTTACAGGTTAAAGATGGTGCTTTGTTGTGGATAAACACTTTGCAGTTTTAGAGAATCCAGACCAGGTGTCTTCTCCCCCCTCCAGACTCCCTCTGTACCTGGTCTTCCTGGGCGTCAGCCTCCTCTTCCTGGTTGTGAATCTGGTCTGTGCCCTGCTGGTCAAGACGACGGCAGCCGACGTCAAGACCATTGTCCTGGTGAGGGTCACCATTAACGACAGCCTGTTCGTCCTCTGCGCCGTCTCGCTGTCCGTCTGCCTCTACAAGGTCACCAAGATGTCGCTGGCCAACATTTACCTGGAGTCAAAGGTAAAGTACTGTAGTTTTCCATGAGTGTAAATATCATCACATGAAGATGATTAGTGAAGCAGTGACACCGCTGTGTGCAGGGGACGTCGGTGTGTCAGGTGACTCTGATCGGCATCATGGTGGTGTTGCTGTACGCATCTCGAGCCTGTTACAACCTGGTGGTGCTCGCCCTCACCGACATCGAGACCATCAACTCCTTCGATTACGACTGGTATAACGTCTCGGACCAGGTGAGGGTTACTGTAGACTGGTTAAACAGAACTGAGGAGTTTAAAAAAAAAAACGTCTTCTTACCCCCGACCTTTGACCTGTCCTTGTGTCTCCAGGCGGATTTGCGGTCATCACTGGGAGACGCCGGTTACGTCGTGTTCGGGGTGATTCTGTTTGTCTGGGAGCTGCTGCCCACTTCGCTGGTCGTCTTCTTCTTCAGGGTCCGACGGCCGCCTCAGGACAGGGTCAGTCCTCCTGGCAGGGTCACGTGACCTCTGATCTCTGCTGGGCTTTTCAACAATTTAACACCTGAATGTACCTGCAGGATTTATGACATCACAGCTAGTGTGGTGTGGAAACTTAGAATCCCGAAGGAGTGTTCAGTGAAGAAGGAGAAATCTGGTGATCAACAGCTAAACCTGATCAATATTTACAGATTCAGGAGAAGGAGCTGATGTTTTATGAATGTGTTTAAAGCTCCTCCAGTGTAAAGGTCTGTGTCCATGTGTAGTGTGATTATAGATCAGCTCTAGCTTCTATATTAATACTGTGAAAGTATCAAAGCCTCAGTCCACAGAGAAATGCACACAGCCTGTATTCAGAAACTGAGCCTTAAAACCAGCCGTCAGGACTTCTGGAACTTTGTGATGTCACAACAAAGCAGTCACCAAGCCCCGCCCACCTGGACCCACCATCCAAACCTTGCAGGATTTGGTTTCTCTGAGTGTTTTTTACCTGAAATCTATTTTTATTGGATCACTCAGAAAACAGTCAGCCAATCAGAAGAGAGGTTTTTCAGATTTTAGTCTTAAAACATTTCTGGAGGGCTTCTTAGTGACATTTTGCTCATCAAATCATTTTGGAAACAAAAACCCTGACGAGTGACTTCGCTCATCTCGACATGACTGCACTGTAAAAAAAAATGTTATGAGGCTGATGTTTGATGGCGGATTATAAAATCGCAGCCTCTCTTTGATCTTTTGTCCTCAGAGCACCACTGGGATACCAAACCACATTCTCTCGTCCAGAGGATACTTCTTCGACAACCCTCGTCGGTACGACAGCGACGACGACCTGGCATGGAGCATTCCTCCCCAGAATGCATCAGCAAGGTACGAACTTCATCACTGATTCCAAAGCAGCTATAATCAATTTTATTTATATATATATATATATATACAGTGCTGCTTGAAAGTATGTGAACTTCCAGAAATGTCATCTGTTTTGGTAAAAAACATTAAAAGAACCTTATTTAACAGACATCCAAATCCTAATTTGTAAGCACAACTTTCCAAATACTGGACACACACAAAAAAGAGATATTTTTTCATTATGTAGTTTCAACAAATGTGGTTTATTTCACAAACACTGAAAATGTAACATGTGCAAAAAGTATGTGAACCCTTCCATTAGTAGCTTGTGGCTCCTCCTTTTGCAGCCATTACTTCAACCAAACATCTTTCTGTAACTTCTAACCAGTCTCTCGCATCTGCTCATGGGGATTTTTGCCCCACTCTTCCTCTGCAGAACTCAGCCAGTTGAGAGAGGTTTGGAAGGACATCTGGCATGTACCATCTTTCTTCAGGTCCTCGCCAACAACATTTCAATAGGATTTAGATCTGGATCTTTGACTGGGCCAATCCAGAGTACGAATCCTCTTTCTCTGAAGCCATTCCTTTGTAAGTTTTTGCTGGAATGCTTCGGGTCATTGTCTTGTTGCATAATCCATTTTCGTCCCAGCTTCAACTGTTTGACTGATGGCAGGAGATTCTGGTCAAGAATTGTTGATATGCCTGAGATTCCATGGTTCCCACTGGATATATATGGAGTCGCCCAGTTCCAGAACCAGAGAAGCAGCCCCAGATCTTCACATTTCCACCACCATGCTTCACCGTAGGGAGGAAGTTCTTTTCTTCATTTGCAGTGTTGGCTTTTCTCCAACATGGCGGTTTTGATTGTGCCAAATAACTCTACTTTAGATTCATCTGTCCAGAGATTGGACTCCCAGAAGGCCTCTGGTTTGTTCCAAGTGCTCTTTGGCAAAGTTGAAACGGGCAGCTTTGTTCTTTTTGAGAGCAGAGGCTTCCTTCTAGCAACCCTCCGCATGAATGCCATGGCTATTCAATTTTTCGTCTGATCGTAGACGCATGCACATTTGTCCCGGATGCTACCAGAGAGGTCTGCACTCTGTAGAGGTGATGTGTGGGTTGGCCTTTACCTGACTTATTATTTTTCTGGTGGCTCTGGGTGATAGTTTTGATGGGCGCCCACTTCTAGGCAGAGTTGCTGTCATGTTGAAGGCCTCCATTTTGAATTATTTGTCTTACAGTACGATCGGATTGAGCTGGAATCTTTTGGAGATGGTCTTATATCCTCCCCAGACTGATGGGCTGTCACTACCTCTTCTTCATTGTCTCGGATATCTCCTTTCCTCTTGGCATTGTTTTGATGTGTATGGCGCGCAAGTTGGTTTGGTTTGGTTTTCCTCTCTCTTTTAATTAGTGCAGGCCAATCCCATTTCCAAGGATGTTCATTTCATTGGTTCTACTGAAAGATTAATTACACACTCAAATGTATTTCACCTGAGTTTCTGTTACCTGCTTGACTTAACCAATGCAGCTCGGGGATTCACTTAACTTTTGCACATGCACTAATTCCATGTTTTCATGTAGTTTTTGGGCTACTTAAACAAGTTCCACTAAAAAAGTACAAGCAATTGATGACAAATATATCTGACATTTCATACATAAAAACTAGTGGATGATAAAATAAGAAGATCATGGTAAACATCAGAAACATCTGAACTGGCTCCGGTTTTTACAAGCAGCACTGTATATATATATTTATATATATATATATTTTATAGAGCGAGGAGAGCCGTTTCCACTCTTTTCAGGCTGAGCTGAGTCAACCAGCTGCTGCCTGTAGCCTTCGATCTAACTGACCGTTTTTTAGTTTAATGCCTCCGACCATTTACTTAGTTTCACATCGTCTGCATATAAAAGATAAAACCTATTGTAGTAGGTGGTGTAAGACTTAATGTGCATTCACTCCTCCAGGTGGTATCAACCTCTTCAGGTGAACGAGCATATTTCACAAGAAACTTTTCAGGTTCCCAACCCGTGGGCGTGATTGTTTTAATGTTTTTAAAGATCATTTTAAAACATTTAAAAAACTGATTTATTTTTATTTATTTCTCAGTCTTTCCTACAATAATTCACAATACCTTCGCGGCCACAAATCATTTGTAAAACAGAACAATTTTGGTAAAAACATGTAATTATTGTAGAAAAAAATAAATAAATAAATGAATCATGTTTTTAAATGGTTAAAAATGAAACGAGTTTTTTTCCTCTTATTAAGACCTATCACACTTTTATGTCGTCACATATACTTGTTTGCTATCTCAGTCTGATTGTGCACTAAAAGATTATATCCATGGCAACAACTGGAGAATTAAAAAGAGAGAGAAAGTCAAGAAACAGATGGTGAACCAACACGTGACATTGTTTGGCCTCCGTATGGTTGGTCTGTCTGACTGACAGTCTTCGGTCTCTCCGACAGTCTCTCCTCCGACTGCTACGACTGGGGCAGCCGCCACAGCAGCTTCACCGTGCACTCCAATAGTGACGAACAACGTCTGACCGCCACCGCCACCACAGCCGCTGCCGGAGAGCTCCACCCTTACCCATGAGTCCTCTCTCCACTGTACAGCTTCACTCTGCACTTTGACACCGATCAGTTATTGTGTTTTTTATTATCACTGATTCAGAGGAAAGAAGAATGTTTAACAGGGTTCCTACACGGGTTGAGTTCAGGGTTGTAAAGTCTGAGGCGCTGTAGCGCCCCCTCAGGCCAGTCAGTGCAGCGATGATAAATCCACTAAACTTAACTTTTAGTTTCATGTGGATCAGGATCTTTAATCAAAACATAAACAGTGACAGACAATCGTGTTGATTGGCAGCTGGATGTCATGAGGTTTAGAGGAGAACCAAATGCTGCTGTAGCGCCACCTGTAGGGACACGAGCTCAGGTCAAAGAGGTACGGTGAGCGATTTAACTCATCCCAATACGTGTTTCCTCCAACAACCAGACGAGCTGCAGGAAATCTGCTCACAGTCTCTTCTACCTGAGTTACAGCATTGAATAATGACCAGAAGTGTTTTTGCAGAACATTATGATGTCACAGTGAAATTGCCCTTTGACCTTTAAGGTACGAAATGCCATCACTTCATTTTATCCATATAGACATTTGTGTTAAACTGTTCATGAATTCTTGAGTTGAGGCCAAATGTGTTTGGTCAGGTCACAGTGACTTTGACCTTTGACCTTTGACCATCAAATTCTAATCAGTTCACTCTTGAGTCATATTGAACCCAAGTCACATGGTCTTCATCAGCAGGACGTCGTTGATGAGACGAGAAGTCCTCGCAAAGTTCAAACAGCCGCAAAACTCAATCAGCTGATGAAGACCATGCGATCCATTTGAAAGGGGGTGGACCTTGAACTGAGGTTGTTTTTTTTAACTGGTGGGAAAAAATGTTTTAGGTGGAAATGGGCGGGGCCAATTTGGGAAAGACAGAACTCAGGAAAAAAAAAAACAGTTAAATAATTCAAATTTTTTGAGGTGACATTTGAGTTGTGTTCGTTCCTCGCAGCAGCACCGGACGTCAACATCAGAAAGACGTTGGATTCTAACGACTTACAACTCAAAATTTTAGTTGGAAATAAAAATCAGGTCAACGTCAAAACTCAACGTTAGCGAACTGACACTGAGACATTCAGCGGACGATGGGTTTTTCACGACTGTCGTTAAGATGTGGTTGGTATGAGAGGTTACATTAAACCTGCAGGTCTGATTCTGAAAGTGAAAAGCCTGGAGACTGACGCTGTGTAGGAACCCTGCTGCACAGAACGTCCATGTTCTTTAGAACCATGTTAGTAAACGATGTTGTGATGAATGTTTCTTTGTCCTTTGGGGAATATTTCACTGAGTGTGACTCAAGTCAAATAAATCTGACTCGGTTATTTATTCTGCTTGAAATAAATATTGCTCCAGATGTGACTGTGATTTTTAGGTTCATTGCTTTTGTATTTTATTTTTTTGACTTGTTTCAAACTTTAAGGCCAGTAGTCAAACAGTTTCACTTCCTGTCCTGAATAATGCTTGAAAAACTCTGAGTCATTTTTTGAGGTTCTTGACTGTGAGAGAAAACTAATCACATCACTAATCTGTAACATAATCAATATCCTGTAAATATCAATAACCCGACAGCTGAACACCTCTCGTGTTGATGTTCACCTCAAACTGTTCACGTCTTAACGAGTCATTTAATCCTGGGCTGAGTCTTAATTCTGAATAAGTTGTAATATGTTCATAATAATTTGAGTCTTGATGAACCGAATATCTCCAGAATGATATAAAAAGTGAAGGTAATGTACAAATACTGATTTGTTTTAAATTACCTTTACATTACTGTCTCTTTATATCGGGATATACATACTATACATATAAAGTTATTTCCTTTTCGTCTTTTCTGAAAAATAACTACTGTAAGAGAATGTAATTTAACAAATTAAGTAAGTGTTAAGAGCATTAAGTATAAACATTTTTACAAACATTTGTTGTTTTGGTCTGGGATGAAATGAAACCATCAGACTGTCCAAATTTAAAAAAACAGAAGTAATAATGAAGTGATTGAAAAAGACTCGGCCCATCATTAAGTTCTGGTTAAACGGACTCTTCTGTACGTTTCTGTAACGACGCTGAGAAAAAAGCTGAAACTCTATATTTCTAACAGACGCAGGTTTTGTAAGTTGTTTGTACAGACTCTCGCCGAGGCCATGTGCTGCTGTTGTTCATGTGTTGAGCTTTTTCTTTGTGTTTGTGGTTCGTGTGTTCATGACGTGTCGACACAAAAGAGCAACTCTAAACAATAAAATGACAAGTTCCTCTGGTTGTCATGACAACAGACTTTTTAATTCCTTCCTCAAAAAACAATAACATTCTTATTCCTCACTTCTGTGTTCACTAGATATCACTGTTCTTCTTCACTACTTATTTTTGAAGCGTTGGGAGATTTCTTGGTGCGTTGTCAGAGAATCAGTGAAATCAGAGGCACGTTAATCGTGTTTCACTCGTCCTTTTAAAGCTCCATGTTTCTTCTTCTGTGTTTTATTTGAAGTGTTGATCCATCAGAAGATATAAAAACCATCTCAGTGTAGTTTTACATCTCCTCTCTCAGGCTTCTCTCTGCAGCTCTAGTAACAACAGGTCGGTGAGCCAATCAGAAGAGAGGAGGCTCTGAGCCTCTCTTCTGATTGGCTGACTGTTTTCTGAGAGATCCAATAAAAATATAGCAGATTTCAGGTAAAAACACTCAGAGAAACCAAATCCTGCAAGGTTTGGATGGTGGGTCCAGGTGGGCGGGGCTTGGTGACTGCTTTGTTGTGACATCACAAAGTTCCAGAAGTCACCGCTTCTCATTTTAAATGTTTCTGAACAGAAAATCACAGCAGTCTCTCACATCATGTAACGACCGTCAGGCTTTACTGTAGTTTTAAATATTTTGATTGATACTCATGAGCGTGAGGAGAGAGAGAGAGGTGAAAAAAAAGAAAAAGTTTGAGTGATGTCCAGAAGTATTTATTCCTCTTTTCAAATAAATATACTCAACATACACATCAACATGGTGCAACTATATATACAGTTTATAATCATAGAGATCTGAAAGCAAAAAGAAAAACACGTGAAGCTGCTGCCTTTTACAAACGTTTGGATTCGACATGAAGAAAGTGAAGATCTAAAGGAGCTCGTTAGTTTTTCTTTAAAGTGGCGTTTCAGTTTTAAGGCTGACGAGTGTTCGGGATGTCCAGCTGCTGGAGGGCACGCACACGCACAAACACACACACACGTTTCCCTCATCATTTGGTTTACATGAACACACACCTTC